AAGAATTCTAAGCATCAAAAGAAAATTTCCAAACAGAGATATAATGAGCTTGTCATAAGGGTTCGATGCGATCATCAAAAGGAATTTTCCACCAAAACAACTAGATCCATGGAGTTCCAATATAGATTGCACTATAGGGAAACTTGGGGGGGGCATCAGTTTGATGCCACTCTCTATGTTGAGAAGACTCGGAGGAAAGGAAAGAGAGACAACATGAGCTTGACATTAGCAGATAAATCTATTATAGCTCCTCATGGAATAATGAAAGATATACAAGTGAAATTTGGAACATTTGTATATCATTTTGACTTTGTAATTGTTGACATTGAAGAAGCATAAGTTCTTCTCATCTTGGGCAGACCATTTTTACGTACCGCCAAGGCAAATGTCGACTTGAAAACAGGTGATCTTAGGCTCAAATTTTGGAAATAGAAGGTGATAATCAAGGTGTATGATAGCTTGAAACTTTGGAAGGATAATCCATAAGATAAACGTGAGAAGATGCAACAAGTGCAAATAGCTTATGAGGAGATGCATCTACCAAAAAAGACACATATAATACATAAGTAAGTTGAAAATCTCTAACCTCTAATTGAAAAAAAATAATGATAGCATTATCTTTGCAGAGGCTAGGAAAGAAAGAGAAGTATAGACTTAGAGTCTAAACGAAATGATAATCAAGAACAAATAAATAAAAGATATAGCCAAATCAAATCTTTCCGCAATGGCTACAGGTCCCTTATCCACCAACACAAAATACTCAAGCAGAGATGAATATTGAGATTTGGAAAATAAACAAGATTGATTTCACGATTAACATGAAGTACCCCCTAATATGGGAGGTTAGAAGCCAAATGAGCCCTAGATGAGAGGCAACCATCAAAATCGGGCTATATAGGTTTATTTACATTTTATTTTAATGTTCATTATTATGAGAGTAAAATATATTTTATTTCGAGAACAAATAGACTAAGTTTAGGATATAAAAGCTAAAATTGAAAGAGAAATGAAAAAATTTAAGATTTTTTTAAATATCTTCAGTCAATATCGCCTATCCCTTTTGATAGTGGCGCAGTTTGAAATTTTTTTATTTATTAAAAGAGGGCTTAACGCCAATAAGAAAAAAGACTACACAACAACAAACCTAGGGGTAACAAGACCCTACCCATCTGCATCCAGAATACTAGTATACGGTTTTAGACAAACAATAAAGAAATTATACATATCTTCTAACGAAAAACTATACTTCACCAATGCATCTGCTAGCATATTCGCTTCCCTGTACGAGTGATTAATCACCACATCTCAATCCATGTCTATCCGTCTCCAAATTTCTTCAGATATAGATCTCCCAACAAAATTCGGCTTCCGACTCATAATGACCTTAAGCACTTCCGTGGAATCCACGTGAATATCTACCTTAGAAAAATCCATGCTCCACGCCAATTTGATACCTTCCAACATCCCCCATATCTCCGTCAGAAAAGCATCCCCTCTTCCAATCAACTTTGAAAAACCTCCTAACCATTCTCCATCACTACCCCGAATAACACCCCCACACCCAATCAAGTCATTTCTACACGCACAATCAACATTAACTCAATCAACATTAACTCATACCCATCCCTCACTGGGAGCCTTCCAACCAACATGAATCTCCACTTGAGAAGGCATGTCTGATGGATGAATAATGGATTCTTCTACTGGAACATAGTCGAGCATTCTTCTAACCAACACCTCCTGCTTACGAGATCACACAAAACCTTCATCATACTTCTCTTTATTCCTCCAAATCTACGCCGCATGACACACCATAGCCCAAAACCTACTTCACCCATGAGTCACACGTAATCCTCCTATTCCCACCACATTAGCAGTTATCCATGTATTCAAAGGCATGGTGAAAAAGATTTGTCGTTGGCTAACCGGAACAACACTTACCCATAACGGTTTAATAAGCTCACAATCTTGTAACACATGCCGAATTGTTTCCGGGAAGTCACTATAATGATCACACCTGTCAATACCCAGCCCCATGCAATTGAGCCTCTCATTCGTTAACATTCGACCATGCATGATCAACCAAGTAAAAGCTCTCGTTCTCTCCTGAACTTTCATCTTCCAGATATGCTGCCAAGTGTGATCGATTTCCTCTATATCGTCATCGCAAAGTGCATGATACATTGCTGATATGGAAAAATCGCCAGTCCTATCATCCTTACAATTCTGCACATCAGCTCCATTGGTCATTTTATGGGGACAAATCGTTTCCATCTGCATTTGAAATTCCAGCGGCATCTATTCCTGCAAAACCTGCCAGTTCCAAGTACCATCACCTGCAACCACATCACACAACTTAACTCGTTTTAATGTATCCGGAATAGGGAGGTTCTGATCAGCAAGCCTCACTCCCTCTGCAATCCACACATCAGTGCAAAAAATAATACGCTACCCATTACCAACACTCCACCAGCCGTGCTCAAGTAATTTCGGCCAAAGCCTCACAATCGTCTTCCAGAAATGCGAGTTGTGGCCTTGTAAGTAACTCCACCAGTATGCAAATCAACTTTATATTTACCCATCAGGATCTCACACCACATATCCTGCAATCTTATTTGAATTTTCCTTGCAGTTTTAAGGATGCAAGCTTCATTCATCTCTTTTAGTCTTCATAACCCAAGACCATCATACTTTCGGGGCTTAGTCAACATACTCCACCCCACGACATGATATCGATGATGATGCTCAGTGTCCCCCCAAATAAACCATCGTTGAATACGTTGAATCTCATCAAAGCAACCCGTAGGAATGCGAGCAGTCATCATCGAGTATATCAGAATCGTTTCCAGCACACTTTTTGCTAATGTCACTCTCCCAGCGAATGCTAACTGATTTGCCTTCCAATGCGTAAGTTTAACATTCAACTGATCAATGATAATTACTTCCAAAATGAATGTTCCATTTTAATATATTACTTCAGCCGTTTCAAAATGAATGTTGTTTAAGATTTTGCATACAAATTAAGAAATATAATAATAATAGTGTTATAAGACATTGCATTTTTACTATATTAATCTTATAAATACCTTGGAAGTAGCGTAGAGAATAATAATTAAAGGACATCATTGAAAAAATAATAATCATTTTTACATTAAAAAGTGAGAATGAGATTCATTTTAACATAATTTTTATTTGTTAAAACAACACTCATTTTGAAACTGATGGAATATTTAATAGTGTTCAGATTGTGACACTCCTATAAATATAGAAACACCGTTAATTGATTTTTAGTTGTTGTGCAGCATGTTGGAAGTTGCAATGCCTACACTAACAGCTAAGTAAGGGTAGAAATAGGCTGAGCCGAGCTAGGCTTTGTCAAGTCTGAGTCTGACCTGCTAAAAATTTCAAAGCCTACGTTTGATATGTGGTCTATCAAAGACTTGTTTTTAATCTTGAGTCTGTCTTTTTCGAAAGTTTGATTGGTCAATTAGCCTACATAAAAAACTTTTTTTTTTAACATTTTCAAATAAGCAATTCAACTAATGTTAAAATAGACTAATAAATTAAAAAGACTAATTAGACTAGATTCTTATTTGCATTGACTTATTCAAGTTTACCTATTCACATATATTTTGTGATACTATTTGTTTGAGAGAACTTATTAAAACAACTTATGACGTTTTTCATAAGTATTTTCAGCATATTTTCATAAGTTCATCTAGACATATAAACTTTATTTTTGTATTTTAATTTAAAATACAAAAATATAATAATAAATATATTCATATTTATTTAAATAATCCGGCATGATAGACTTAAAAAGTTTTTTTTTGTGATATGTGATATAACTTTTTTAATTAAATAGACTTATAGAAAAGTCTGAGCTTTTTCTATTTAAAAAAAGAATTTCATCTGACCTGAGTCTATGTAAAATAGTTTGTAGGCACTTGTTATTGACTTGACATACTTCCACCCCTATTGCTAAGCTACCGCGGCGCGTTGTTTTGAGATTTCTACAAATGTCGTTAATTTCCCCATTTTTATTTCCTCATTCTTTTCTCTTCTCTTATATACTTCTTATACCCAAGTTACATAAACCCTTAGCTACTCTTTTTCAACTACTCTTTTTCAATTAATTTTCTTACCCTTATCATGGCTCCACCAAGAAAACAAATAAGAACTGCACTTTCTATAAGTACTCCATAAGTGATGAGACAAGTGCATTTTGAGAGACCATTAGATCTAACGATGTTACTAGCTGAGTTAAGGGGCTTGTATTTTCTTTCAAAAAAAATTTCCGACGCAGCTTGAGTTCTTTACAAAAGCTCTAGGAACTACTACAAGCTTCTTCCTAAATAAACAGGTGTTGGCTTAAGTAGATCATGACAAATAGAGTGAACTAGGCTATTGGCATGAAATCAACAATCAAGTGCAACTTTTTTTTCACTTATGTTTTTAATAAATTTATTAAATATATTTATATATAGTAATTTTCTTTCCTTTTTCTACTTCTGTTTCTACAGAATGTGTGACCGGGCTCACCTATGTTTTTCCCTAGTTTCAGAAATTCATGAAGATCATAGATACAGTAACTCCGGCTAAATTTGGTTTAGCTTTAGATATTCTTTGTTAATCTTTGAAGAGCTTCGACTTTGAAATTCGAAAGCATAAGTTTGAACTAAACACGGGTGAGCAACATAAACAGAGATATCTGAACTTTGTGCTCACACAGTACCAGCTGCAACACCATCAAGTTTAAAATGCCAAAAAAACAACTACCGTGTTCAATTGCAGTTAAAAGAAGAGCACTCTCTAAGACGAACAAACGAGGGGAAGTAACTCCGTCACAATTCACATATCTTAATAAAGAAACAAACTATCAAACTACAATCCAACAGCCGTCTGAAACTAGGAGTTCCTACATAATCAAGAACTATGTCCCTAATTCTGCCTCCTCATTTTAATTTCTAACTGAAAAGATCAACATGAACTATTAAAAATCAGTAACGGTCAAATGATGATGGCCGAGCAGCCCTGCTGGGGCGGTCATAAGGAGCGGGCCTACCCCTATAACTTCTTCCTTCATCACGAGCAGGTATTCCACTTCCATTTCTATCAGCACCTCCACGAGCACCACCATAGCGGTCATAGCCTCTTTCTTTCCCATAACCATTTTGCGGGTAGTCTGAGCCACTTCCATATCGATCAAATCGATCTCCTCCACTTACTGCATACCTATACAGTTTTCAACCAAAGCAATAAAGTATAATAAATACATAGAACAAAAGGAATGACAATGTAAAACAAGTTTTAAGACAATAAATATAATTAGTTATTTGTGTAAAACTTACTTATACTCTGTATAATTATTAAATTGAATTATTGTTTTAAATCTATGGCAAAAGCACCAAGAGTAGTAGTAATTCAGTAACAAGAATTAACTGTTCATACCTGTCACTGGCATAGCGATCACGGCCACTATATTTGTAGTCTCGGCTGTCTAAACGGTCCCTATCCCCGTAACGTCCTCCATCATAACGATCATCGATGTACCGCTCACGTTCACCAAGGCGATCCCCGTGTCCACCAGCACCTCCAAACCTAGGACGGGAAGAAAATGAACCACTGCCACGACCACGACCACCGTCTCCTCCTGCCAAAGGACAATCTCGGGCCCAGTGCCCTGGACGACCACATTTGAAACAGTCATCCTGTCCTACCCTATCTCCAGCCCCATAGCTTCCCCTGCCACCTGAAGAGTAGCCACCTCTGTACCCTTGGTCTGCATCATCACCCCCTGCCCTAGGCTGTGCCTTGTTGACTGAGATGATTCGATCACCAATTTCCCGTCCATTCATTTCTTTAATTGCATCCTCCATTCCCCGACGGTCAGAAAATGTAATGAACCCAAATCCACGAGGACGTCCTGTATCCCTTTCCATCATGATCTACAGGAAAAACACTTGAAACATCATTAAAAATAATGGCAATATGTACAATTAATGTCAAAATTTAATTTGCATTTATGACAATGAAAAAATATCAATGCTGCTTTTGATGCAAATGGTTATTGCACTACCATTATTGTAACACTTGTAAAACAAGATTAACTGTGTTGAACATATAAAGCATGTTTAATAGGATTAACTAAACCAGTCAGAGTAAATAAGAACGTATAGTTACTCGAGTAATTAGAAAAAAATGCCACATATATGACAAAGCTATTTGCATAAAAAATAAACAATTTACAAAATCCGTAAAATAGAATCACATCATACAAACAAGATGATGATGCAGAAGTGAAAAAACAAGACAACATATACGTAGAAGGCAAGACCATGTAGTTCATGTCACGAGCAACAAAAAAAACCTTCATCTTCAAATTTTTTATTTATCTATCAGTTCTTTTCAGAATTTCTCTGCATTCAAATACCAGCTCTAATCCCCCCATCCCCATTAATTATGGATATAATTTAAGTAACATAGGAGAATCAATTCCTAAATATATTTACATACTTCTCAGATACTGACAGGTTTAACTTTAACTCATCATTGCTTAAATTAGCCACTAAACCAGTCCCACACTGCCCACATAATAACAGAAACACAAGAAATTAGTAACGCAATTGCTGCAAAGCTACAAATTTCTATCAGTCCAAAGAATGATGCTAACATAAACAAGCATCCAAAATACTGGGACATTCAATTTATAAACAAAAAAAAAAAGCAAATTTGTGACCGCAGAAAGTTGTGCATTAAATAAGGAGTTCCAGTATTTTATTCATGTGACACATGCAAACTGCGTTCAACTATAGAGAAAATTATAACCAGACAACTTACTTGTGTTCTGATGACAAAGCACCAGAATGGTTTTCATACAGATAAGTCATTCAGAGAAATCCCAAGCCCACATTTCACAACAAATATCGCTTAAAAAAATCATTTCCACAATCTGAGCAAGAATGTCAACTTGTTCCATTCTGGTTCATGATTTAACTTTAAACAATCTAATCCCCCAACATAAACTTAGCACCTGACTTGATTAAAAATCACCATAATATGTTGGATGATATTATTTTCTCAATCAGAAGAATTAACACAAAACCAATATGCCGCCACAAATTAACAGTATAAGAAGAAAATCCCAAATGTTACTTTCATTTCCGCTGTCACCAGACCACTGAGTTGCAGCTCCTATTTTATGACGAGCATCACAGAGGATTTCTCTTCAAAACAAACTATCTGCCAGGGATTTTTTCTACATTCCTCATAGATATCATGCTTTCAAGCCCACCAACACCTTTTGTGATTATTCTCCTCCCCAGATGCAAATTATAATCAATCTTATGCGGAAATATGATGAGTCAAATGCGAACAAATGCATAGTATTGATTATACTGCAATTATATGCCTAACTTAATATGTGCTTCTGCCGCCCCTTAGCTCAATTATTGCACACACCCGCATTTTGGCAGAAAACAATACTCATGCAGATATGGATTCTTTATTTAAAACTACAATGATAAAAGCAAAACCAAAGCAAACCTTTCCAATCAGTCAAATCTATTCCGATGTAGAAAGTAACGACTAAATCAAAAAAGAAAGAAATCATTCAGCCTTCAGTGTTAGCTAGAATTGCTAGAACAACTGGTGAGATACAGTTTCTCAGTATGACAAGAGGAATTCACTATCCGAGCAGCAACTGTCTTTGATCCCAATGCTCCGGACTTGAAAATTTTGAGCTCAGAAGCACTTAAGTACTCACAGATCCTCTTGGTGTTATATGGTCTATGGGTTGCAGAAAGTTCAAAAAAGTATATGTAACAAGAGCAGTGAAATCAATCAGACACAAAAAATGACCAAACAACTGGGCTTTGCATTACACTGAGAAAGTATCCTACACTGACAAAGGTGCAGCAAGATTTAATTGCTGAACAGAGGCAAATACATAAGACTTCTTCAACTCATTTAACAAAGTACTTTTTACTGATCTACTGGGAACCGCAACTACAGCCCGCAAACACCGCCACACATATACTTTGCATGATGTATCGGAACCTTTCCACACTTCAGGACCACTAGAAATGCCACCTACCAAATTTGTCGTCAGTTCGTAAAATGGAAACTCTACTACCCCTGCGTCTACAACTAAAGAAACAGGCATACACTATCCAGGGAAATTTTCTGTTTTTTATTTTTGAAAAGACAGCATGTGAGACAGCAATTTTCCTTATAGTTATAACAAATAATCGATCAAGAACCAGAAGCAAAACAGGGAATGTCCAGCATAAGAAGTTTTTCACACATCCGACTAGTAGTCATCAGTATCACCATCGCATAATAGGTCTTACTACTAGAAGAGGAAGGAAGCCAATGAACAGACAAGACACAGATTCTATCATTTCACCGAATAATGGTATCAACTCTATCCAGTTTTCAAGCCAATCTTACTGCCAAATATTACTTCCACATCATTCAAAAGTTATTACTAATGAACCTTAAGCACGGTGAGACTTGTCTCTCGCAAAAATAGCAGACAGCCCAGTCTGATATTCCCTTGGAACTCTTATTGCACTGATTCAACATATCTAAGCCATACTAATTTCCACCTTGAGCTACTATTTTATCAGCAAATTGAAAATGATCTTCGAACACGAAGAAGTAACTCTGCTAAAACATCAGTTAAACAACCCATATACCACATCTCAAACATCAAAACCTCACAACCAGCATTCCAGAAACCCAAAGAAAAAACAGGTGAAAAAATTAGTGAAAAAATCAAATCAAAACAACTCCCTGTGACAACATTTCCTACAGCTACAACAATTGACTTATCAAAAACAATTCGTAAATTTAACCGAGAAAACAAATTAGGGATATGGAATTGGTGGAAAACGGTACCTGACATTCGAGAATCTTGCCGTAACGATCAAAGGCATGTTCCAGCTGACGTTCCGTAACGTCCCAACCCAATCCTCCAACAAAGATTCGATTATCTTCTTTTCCAGACATCACCAGAGCTCTCAATTATCGCAAAAACGTTTAATCCTGAATTCAGAAAATTATGAATCAATGAATCGAAAATGATGAAGAGAAATGTTATAGAAGATGAAAATTGAGAGGCTTACGACTGAGTGATTTTTGAAATATTAGGGTTTTGACGGAAACCCTTGAGGTTCAAGGTTGGAGGAGTGTGAAGATTCCAAAACCAGCGCAGCTCTTATTAGTAGTATTTGGAAGAGTTGTTGGATGTGTCACCCTTTAAAGATATCTCGTGACGTGATATAAAATTACTTAATTACTATTATTTAGTTTTATTTAATAAAAAATTATAGAATGAACAAGTTAAGAATTTTTTTACACACATATACTTTAATAATAATTAATATGGTTAGATATAGTGGTGTTAAAAATCAAACTGACCTAATAGAAAAATGACTAATCAAATCCGATGTGTTTGAATCATTATTTAATAGAATTTGTGGTTCGGTTTGATTTTAGTTTGTATTTTGCATAATCGAACTAAATTAAATTGAACTGCATTATGTTATAATTCAAACTTCACTTAACTCATATCCAACTCAAACTTAAATTCATTTTGCCTTAGTCTTACGATTACGAATGATGGTGTTTCTCAATTATGTCGTGTGATGAGTAGCCTTAAACAAACTGTTCTGGACTGGGCCCGTCCTGGCCCAAAGCGCAAATAAAGGTCCAATCCAAGCAATCTCATCGAGAAATGCACACCCGCGGATCACCGCCGACGTGCCCGACCACAGAGTGTAGCCATGCCCGTTATTGCCCGCGACACATGGTGTCCCCGACCAAGGGAACTCCAGCTCGAGTCCTGCTCGAGCACTCTCCCCGTAGGGCAGATTCTGTCATCTCTAACCGTTATCGAATCATCTAAACTCCGGAAAGACTGCGTCTTCGTCCCTCCTCATTCTTCGCAGAGCATCACCAGGAAGGGGACCACGTGCGGGGCCCCACTACACACGTAGAACCTGTCAGTTCCTTTATTGAGCCAATTCTGGTCGGCCCAATGAGGGGACCTTGGTCCAGCGCTGGGGGCTATAAATACCCTTTGTTCCTAGAGGGTCAGGTATTCATCTATTACGCACCTATACATTTTTTGCCTGCTCATTCCATCACTTATTTTAGCATCAGAGTGTCTTGCAGGTACCCCCCCCACCCCATCTCATTCAAGTTCAGCTCGAGCCAGCCGTGACGGTCCAAGTCTGATCAGGTACGATCAGTGGCGCCGTCTGTGGGAAATTAGCTTCCCCGTCTTACAAACTCTCAGAGACCAAAGCTAAAAATCACCTCCTACCGTCATGGCTGACCAAGTTCGGGATGACCAGAACGTCTGCGTCGTTGACGTCAACAACAACCTCGCGGATAAAAACAGAATTCCCGACAACGCCGGCAACCCCGACCATAGCACACTCCCCGGGGGCACCATCCCCGGGCCCTCGATCCACCGCGACGGAGCTATTGCCTCATCTTCTTCAGTCCCTCTGCCACTCGAAGAAGACAATACGGCTCCCCCAAACTATCCAGCTGCCCAATTTCAGGAAGTCCCTGTCCCCGTCGGGGCAGATTCCACAACCCACGCATTATTCACGGCGATCAATCAAACCAACTACCTCATCTTTGCCAAGGGAGAAAGATTGAGGGCGCTGGAAGACGATAGAAGACCCGCGAGGAGACACAGGAGGCCTCAGACTCCACCTCCTCGAATAACAGAGGTACATCTCCCGTCTCCCCTGCGGAGACAATACAGAGACACCTCCCGAAGCCCATCGCCCCGACCGTCGGGGAGACGACCCCCCTTGGAGAGGCAACCCGTCATTGAAGTCGGAGGGCGCAACCATGGCCCCATACAGCAAGAAAGAAGACACTCCGAGACAGGCACGGGAGAATGGACCAACGAGCATCCCGCCTGAGGGGCACCCTGCACGACCAGGACCACCGGGCCCGATAATATCTCAGGTCCCCATCCCTGTCTCCAGAGCGAAGTGACGAGGACGACCCCCGTGGTCCCCTTTCACAAGCCATCATGGAGGTGCTAATTCCCCCGGGCATGGAGAAGCCTCCACATCTGAAAGAATACGACGGAGTCGCGGACCCAGTCGACCACATAGACGGGTTCGAGGCTATGCTGCATTACCATAATGTCGGGGGACCCATCAAATGCCGGTTGTTTCCCACGACCCTCAGAAAGGCAGCAATGGATTGGTATAAAGGCCTCGCCCCGGGATCAATCACCTCGTGGAGAAACCTGAAGAATCAATTCATAAGTTCGTTCACTGCGTCTCGGAGACACCCAAAGACTAAGGCAGCACTCGAGGCCATCATCCAGAAACATGATGAAACCTTGAGAGAATTTATCAAACGCTTTAATCGCAAAGCCATACAGGTCCCCTGCGCGGACCACATGAAAAGGTACTTGCTGGAGAGGGGGCTCCTCCCCGGCACAGAATTCAGAAAGGCGGTGGGCATCGAACCACCCCGAACATTCGATGCTCTCCTCGAGAAGGCCCGAGCATATATGGATTACGAGGAAAGGGAGGCGGCCAACAGAGTCTGGGACCCCAGAACTCGTGGATCCAGCAGCAACCCACGCCAAGAAGCCGCTCCTCATCGACGAACCGGGGAGAAAAGAAAAGAGGACAGACCCCGAGAAGTCCGAGAACAGAGAGGACCCTCAGGGCGTTTCACAGAATACACTCCACTCACAGCTTCCCGCGAGCGCATCTTGGCGGAGTGTGCCAACACAGATTTCAAAGATGGCAGCGTCAAGCGCCCCCGACCTGCTCCTGCCAAGCCCGGAGTAGACAAGAGAAAATACTGTCAGTACCATAGGAGCCATGGTCATCTGACTGAAGACTGCGTCCACCTCAAGGACGCCATCGAAACCCTCATCAAGGGAGGGAGGCTCGCCCAATACCGGCGAAACGATGCTCCTCGTCGCAACGCCCGGGAGACGAGAGAACCAGAGGAGGACGCCCGGCCATCTGACGAATCGGTCCCCATCCAGACCGCCTTCTCCATCACCAGACCGAAGGACTTCTACGTCCCCGAACACCTGCAGGAGCCGCTCACGAAGCACATCAGGTGGGAGTATTTTCCCTCCACCATGATCATCAATGGTGGAGGATTCAATGACCTAACCATAAATTCGGCCAAGAGGAAGCTGGATGAACTGGTCGACTCTGCCCCTCCTCAGATGGTGACTTTTGAAAGGGTGAAAGGTAGGTCAGAGCCTATCACCTTTTACCTCGAAGAGCTCCCCGGAGGAGCCCCCAACACGGCCATTCCTCTGCTAATAAGAGCAAGAATGGCTAACTTTGACGTACATCGCATCCTCGTCGACGAAGGAAGTTCCGTCAACGTGATGTACAACCAATTATTCCGGACCCTGCAGCTAGATGACTCGCACCTCTCGCCGTATGTGGGGTCGGACTTACAGGGCTTCAACGGCTCAACCTCCAAACCTTGGGGATATGTCGAGCTCATGGTTACCTTCGGCGAGGACACGACGACGAGGCAGGTCAAGGTGCACTTCCTCGTCATCGACTGCCCGTCCCTCTACAACTGCATCCTGGGGAGACCAACACTGGCAGAACTGACCGCAGTACCTTCCACCGTCCACTTGAAGATGAAGTTCTACACCAAGATGGCGCGGGTCACCACCATCCAGGGGGGGCTGGCTGCTGCTCGAAGGTGTTTCAACGCTGCATCCAAGGGACGCGACACGGTCGACACTGGGACAAGGCCCGCCAAAAGACCACCGACGACACGACAGGAGCCCGACAAGCCAGAGCCCGTCAAAATAGAAGAGCAGAGAGCTCCCCCAAAGGTCGACTCCATAGCTCTGGACACCCGCTTCGATCAAGACGAACCTCCCTATGACGAGCAAATCCCCCTCCAGCCAATTCTGGACGGGGACTTCGAGCTCGTCCCCCTTGGCGAGGACCCAAGCAAAGGAGTGAAGATTTGTACCAACCTCCCCGACCTGGCAAGGAAGCAGATCAAAGCCTGCTTGCGTGAGAATGATGACTTGTTCGCGTGGAGCGCCGCGGAGATGCCCGGACTCGACCCCGAGGTCGCCTGTCACCGTCTCTCCATAGATCCAGCCGCCAAGGAAGTAGTACAACGTAGGCGTAGGCAGTCTCCGGAGAAAACGGAGGCTGCTGAAAAAGCTGTAAAAGACCTCCTAGAGGCGAATTTTATTTCTGAAGCCCGATATTCAACCTGGCTGTCAAATGTTGTACTTGTTAAAAAGAATAATGGAAAATGGCGGATGTGTGTTGATTATACCGACCTCAATCGGGCATGCCCGAAGGATGCTTTTCCTTTACCGAGCATAGACATGCTGGTCGACAATTCGGCCGGTTACAAAATACTGTCGTTCATGAATGCCTATTCAGGCTATAACCAAATCCCAATGGCCATGAGCGACAAGCATTGCACTGCCTTCATGACCAGCTCGGGAAACTATTACTACAACGTAATGCCCTTCGGTCTAAAAAACGCGGGGGCAACGTACCAACGTATGATGAACAGAGTGTTCCATAACCAAATCGGGGACATGCTCGAGGTTTACATGGACGACATGATCGTCAAATCCCGAGCAGACACCGATCATGCAGCCCACCTCAAAGCAGTCTTCGCCCAAGCAAGGCAATGTAAGATGAGGTTCAATCTCGAAAAGTGCACGTTCGGAGTCAAGGCGGGGAAATTCCTCGGGTTTTACCTAATAGAACGAGGAATTGAAGCCAATCCCGACAAGTGTAGAGCCTTCTCCGACCTCCCGACACCTACGTCGAATAAATCAATACAAGTCATGAACGGTATGCTCACCTCGTTATCCCGCTTCGTCGCAAAATCCGCTCAGCACGCCCTCCCCTTCTTCAGACTCCTTCGCAAAGAAGCGGCCTTCGAATGGACCGAGGAATGTGAACGGGCACTGCGCCACCTGAAACAAAGCTTGTCTCAACCACCCATAC